TAAAATAGAAGACTTTTTAGACGACTTACAAGTCATCAAGACCCTAAACGAAATTAACTAACTAAACACTTCATAAAATCAAATTAAACTTAAAACTGTTTATTATATACAAAAATAAAAACATAAACGTAAAAGTTTAATTTTTTAAGATCTTCAGTTTTAGTAAACAATTATTATGCTGTAATTTTTTTCTAAATAAAATAATATTTCAGCAAAAAAAAAAAAGGTGGTAATATTAGGACAACTTACATGTATGTCGTCTGGTTTAAATTATTCACCAAACGACTTACAAGTTGGTCGTCTAGATCCTAAAAATAACCATAAAATTAATTAACTAACTACACACTTTATAAAACCAAATTTAAACGTAAAAAGTGTTTATTATACACAGAAATAAATACATATAGGTAAAAAATTAATTTTTCAAAAAACATTCAAACTTTCCAAAATCTAACCCTAAGAATACATACAATACTACAACATATGTTGTCAAATCCTAAAACCAAAGAATATAATGATCAACTACTTTCACTTATCTATGTTGAAAACTATTTAATTTTATTTTATCTTAATTTACATCATTTAAAACTATCTTAATTACATGATCTTAATTTTTCACTTGTCAAAATATTTTTTTTTTTTTAAATTAAAAATTATTTTTAAGATCAACTACATCAGACGACTAATTTGGAAGTCGTCTAGACGACTTCCAGCATCTCAGGCGACTCAACGACTTACTGGGGTTATATTTGTAAACATGATTTTTTTTTGTCACAAGGGGCTGGCTGTAATTTTACAAGGCTTTTATGTTAGTTTTGCATTTGATTAAAGTTTGGGTATAGATTTTCATTTAAAATCATGTTTTGAGTCATATTTGGAAAATTTTCCTTCAGTTTTATTCATTTTTATTTGGCTATGTAAACAAAATCAAAATATTTTGTAAATTATATTTACATTTACTGGTTAATAAATATGTAAATTAAATTTTAATATAGTTACTCCAATTTCTGTTATAAATGTATAATTATGAATCTAAACTTATTATTAAAAGAGTAGACCCTATATTCAGGAGTTGCACATGAATAAAGGCCCTATCTATGACACTTATGTAATTATGTCCATAAATATAAAATATTATATATTTTCAGATACTTAAATCGAAGATCTAGCTTCAGTTTTAGGAATAAGATCCACAAACTAGTGCAACAAACCATGGCTTCTCTTGATTAATCTTTGTTTCAGGATATAAGGATGATTTTGACTTAGAAATAATTGAAATCTTGCATCAAATGATTTTCCTGTTTTCTTTTCAAAATTGTTTTCTTTTGAATTATAGTGATTGGATTTGTTTTTTATAAAGTATTAATTGAATAACAGTGGATTGTAAATTATTTCTAGTGACTTTATAAAAATGTCACATTTAATAACATTAGATTTGTGAACTTTTAAAAAAAATCTTTAGTTGAATAAAGGATTTTAAAACAAAATCAAAACACTATAAAATCTACAATACAATATACCCCCTTGACATACTACCCAGATTGACTACTGCACAATGTTTTCTTAACAACAAAGTTGATAAATATTGTAAAGATTGTTTTCCTTATTGTGTTTCAATGTTGACCTTTAATTTCCCATTATGCATTGTTAAAAATATTGTTTTCTTAATAGCTTAAGTTCTCTGTCTGTGTTTCTGTATAAGTCTGTTTCTTTATAAAAGCATCCATAAGGTCTGGATGATTTTTCTATATGCTGCGTATAATCTCCATGTTACCCATTTGATGGTGGTTTTAGGTTGGAAAGAGGATTTCAACTTTGCAGCTTGGTTCCTTGTTTTTCGCGCTAACATTCGAAGCAATACATGATGTTTGGGAGGTAAAACCCTTTACTCCTCTCTTTTTTTGTAGCAGTCTTAACAACTTATAAATGTATTGTCATTTTTTGTGTGGTGGCTAAGCCGGTTGAAAACCATGTGCCCTAAAAAGAGATGTTTAAGAAATATATGATCTTGAGCAACTGATTATGATATGTTTGTGTATGTGACTGTATAACGAGGATTATCTCTTTTTAATTTAATATTTTTATGTTCTTATTGAAAAAAATAAAAATATTTTACATCTTTCAATAAGGACATAAAACATTAAATTCAAAGGAGATAATCCTCTTTATACACTGATATACACAAACACATTATAATCAACTTTACTCAAGATCATATCTTCTTAAACATCTCTTTTTAGGGTTCGAGACCGCCAACCCGCTCAGCTACCACACCAAAAACGACAATGCATTTATAAGCTGCTAATACTGCTACACAAAACCAGAGTGGAGTAAAGAGTTTTAGCTCCTAACCATCATGTATCGCGTTGAATGCTAGCGCGAAAGAAACGGCAAGGAACCCAGCTGTAAAGTTGAAATCTTCCTTCCAACCGAAAAATCATCATCAAATGAATAATATGGAGATTGAAGGCAACATAGAGAAAAATCATCCAAACCTTGTGGCTGTTTTTAAATTCATCTTGTTGCTTATTATAAATGTAAACTAGATTTTGACCCGCGCTTAAAAGCGTGGAAATTTTTTATGATTAAAAATTTATATAATTGGGTTTTGTCATAATTTAAATAATATTTTGATATAAAATCAGTTCACCAAAATTTGTGGTGATAATTTTTTTTCATTAGTTTTTAGTTTCAGTTTTTATTTTTAGATTTTGGCTTTTGGTTTTTAGTTTTTAAGTTTCTACTTTTCATTTTAAGTTTTTGGTTTGAGTTTTAATTTTTAAACCCGCTGAGTTAGTTTGAACAAATATTACCAACAAACAAATCTCAAATAATCGAACATCTAATTTAAAACTGAAAAGATGAAAACAAATTTAAAAAAAAAATTGAAATAGTTTATTTTGTAAATAAACAAAGCAAAAAAATATAATATGTGTTTTCAGCTTTTGGTTTTGGATTTTAATTTTTAGATTTGGTTTTTGGTTTTGCTTTACATTTTTTAATCAGTAAATTATTTAATAAAAATAAAACAATAAATTATTTAAAAGTTACCACTGAAATTTATCAAAACAAAGTGATTATTATTTAAAATAAAAAAATATATTAACATGTTTTAAAGTACATGATTTAAATAAATGATTAATAATGGATAATTTTGTTTAGTTAAAAATATTAAATACTTTTTGGGTCTGAAAATAATAATTCATTTTTTGATCTTTTAAGGTGAAAAGTTTATTCAATGTTTTTGGAGTTTTTTCTTAATACTAAGCGCAAAAACCAAACTATATAATTTGTTCAAAAAATAAAAGTAAACTCAAAACTATATTTCATAAATAACCACTGGTTTAATTTAAGTATAATTAGTAGATTTTCATATTCCATATTTTGATGATATATATTCTTTTAGAACATTCCATATTTGTAGGAGAAAATATGTGTTTTTGGTATACACATAGATATCTGCCGTATTTTGAAGGTAGTTTACATTAAGGTCATCTTTTTACATTAATTTTGTTGGTTTAATTTAAGTAATACGGTTCAATCAACTATATGACTTATATTATTTGTAACATTCTAGAAAGAGTCCAAATTTAAATGACAACTTGTATCAATAGATAAAAAGAATGACTCTATTTTAATAGAGTAGACTAGGATAAGACCCGCGCCTTGCGCGGAATGAAGCTATTATTTTTATTATGTTTTGAAAAATGAAACAATAGTTCGGTTTCATTCGGATTATAGGTGCTCAATTCGGATATCGGGTTTCGGTTCGGCTCAATTTTTTGTTCGATTTTTTGGTATTTCGATCATTAAAATATAACTACTATTCTAAATCTATATGTACTACAGTTTGATTTGGTTTATATACCATCGGTTTTCAGTTTATTCAATTTTATACCAAAAAACATAATTATTTAGTTTGAGATCATATTATATATTATACAAATATATAATATGATCATATTTAGAGTCATATTGCCACAGGG